TAAACTCATGTTCAGGAGCTGTTCAGCGTGTTTTCAGCAGCCTCTGAACTCTCCCCAATGTTTTCCTATGTGCCCATGTACACTGTTGTTTACAGGCAGTTGAGTTTACAGTCGTTTTTTTTTTGCGCACCAAACTTTTAGGAGTAGATTTTACCGGCGTTTCAAACGCCTGTAAATGCTTGTAAACTCAGTTAACTGCGTTTATAAGCGTTTGCATTTAGAAGCATTTTTTAAGTGTTCCAACTGTTCCATGTCCAGATGCTGTCCAGAGCCTTTTTTCATCATCAGAAATGCATGCAAAGCATTTTCCATGTATTCAAATGGACCCGGTACACCAGCGCAGTCAGTTCCAGGTTTGGCATGAAGGAAATAATGGTAGAACGTGCCGCATTATGCTCATGATGGGATCCATAGTGAATACAACCAGAAAAGACAGGTCATCTCCACACATACTGCTCTCTCTGCTTCTACTCTCTCTATTCTTCTCAAAATGTGTGATATAGTTAATTTTTTACTATTTTTCAGTGCATTCTGGGCATTTAGGAAGGTCTCCTGAGGCTATCTTTTAAAAACGCTTCTAAACGCAAATAAATGTGGTATGCAAACCACTAAACTGATGTTTTTTTAACCTACGTTTTCCAGCAGTCAGTTTCCATTGTTCAGAAGAGTTTTCCAAACGCCCCGTGTACATGGAGCCCTTAGGGTGCCAGCTACAGACTGGAACACATTATTTCACAGGAAATAAGGGAGGGGGAAAGTGAGCTGATGACCTTGTTTTGCAAACAGATGCTGTAAGAAATGTTACAACTTAAGGGGAACTCTACAATATTTGGGAGCTGCCACAATGAAGCGGTGTAACGTGCTGCAGCACAACATGAGGATAATAACCGTGCTAAATAAAATACAATTCAGAAGTTTAAATGTGGTGCACCATGACCACACTTTAAAAAAATAGTGGTATGCAGTGGTAGTGACAGGTGTACAGGGGACTAAATTATAGTATGACCATCCTGTGAACCGCAGTGACTTTACAACACAATAAAAGAGGCTACCCAGACAATGCATAGACCACGATGGTCCGTTAAATACAACAGGAAACAATCAGCCGACGGTTACAATGTGCAGGCAGGAGATGGCAATATTTACAACACAGGTAGAAAACTTAACACAAACAGCGCAAAAAAATGACTAATTAATGTGTTACACCCCAAACAAATTTGATCATAACATATATAAATAAAATATAATATTAATAAAATATTAAGAGAACAAAAGTCCCACTCCAAAATAAGTGAAAACAATGTGAAAAAATCCTTAGAAAAACTCAAAAGTCCTCTTTCCAAAGAAGTGTGCTTCCACCAAAAAGAGTGCTCAAACAATATATATCGCACTCACCAGATTATGGTGTAAAAAATGCCTTTTGGGTATTTTCGGGATCCTAGACCCAGTTACTATGCCTCCAGATCTCCACTCCACCAAAGGAAAGCCGGGTAGAAAACTACCATTTGTGAAAATAGCTGGGCAAAAAATGGCACAGACCTGACAATATACTAAAAACAATGGACCGTTGTCTGTCATTTCTGTCTCCCTTTTTCTTTAACTGGTACATGATTGTCTTGGTATGTGATGGTATTTTTTTCCCTCTTCTAACTCCTCCGCTTTCTCTAGGGCCTAGATTGTAATAATGCATTATGTGAAAGAAACTAGTACACTACAGTTTTTTTTTTTTTTTTTTTTTTTTTTTTTAACTAGTTTTTTTTTGGGCAGTAAAGAAAAAAAAAAAAAAGCATTGCAGCCACAATTGAGACTCTCTGGTGATATTTTATTATAACTTAGGGTGAGGCTCTGGGCACAGTCAGGAGGAACAAACTACTAAGCGTTTTCAGCTACAGTCCACCAGCAGGAAGACTGTCATTAATTCTTTCATCAACACCCCGGCTGAGGCACCCCTAGCAGTTATTTCTGAGGACGGGCCACTATATCTACAGACTGGAATGACTGCTGAGGAGCTGGGGCAGGTGAGGAATCCCCGGCTCCCAGGATTGGTAATAGGGGTATTGTTTGGGAACTGATTGCTGCTCACTCACAGAAGAGGCTGACTTGTTTTCTGCCACGGAGCAGAGCAGCTAGTATGTCTTGTTACTTTTTCAGCAGAATGAGAAAAAAAAGTCACCACTTGCAATGCAGGGCTCTCAAAGTTGTGGTGGCCAGTCTAAATATAATATGCAGCGCTATGATGACTATAAAAGGATAATATAATAACAAAAGATGCGCTGTGGAGCGCTCAGGTGTACATAAATAGGTGCATAAGGTGTCTATGAATGATGTTTAAAATGCAAAAGTGACATATTAGATAAAACACCAATAAACTGTAAGCAAAGTCCAAATGTAAATAACAGGTGAATTCTGTGACTCCAGTGATAGTGAATGAGTATGTATTGCACTAACCAGATAACTCAAATGTGCAGTATTTTGCGCTATCAGACCATTCCTGGTTGCCTGGATCTGGAAAGGTGAGGATCAAAGGATCATCTGGCAAGACAGGCAATCTAGATGTCATCACTCTCCAGGTGTCAGGGATACTCATCTATCCAGCAGGTGGGGAAACCACACTCCAAGCAACAGAAATAAACTTACTTCCAGCAGGGGGCCTCTCCCAATTAAATGGAGCACAGAGGAATCCACCTTGAGGGGGGGGGGGGGGGGGGGGCTCGCAATAAACGAGCCCAAGCAAAGAGTTCTGATAATGTAGTATTTATTGGTAAATGGGTAAATCCACAAGAAAAATAAATGCACTCACACCTGCAGTGTTGTGGAGTTAAAGATAGCTGTCGATCTCACATGTGACCTGTGCGGCGTGACGTCACCGGCTGACTAGTCGCCAGAGTTATTTTTTTGCCGTGGGAATTGCCCATCCCTGTTTTATGGTTACATACTTTTATTGAATAAAAAAAGAAAAGAAAAGAAATTTTTCAATTGTGACCTATGCCTATATACAAGTACAAAAAGGAGATCACACCGAGATCAATTCACAATTCAAAAAAGATTTCACCATAAAAGTGACCAGTGACATACAATAGATATTCTGGAATCAAACTTAGAACAGATAAAGTACCAAGAGAAAAGACAAAGGAAAAAATAGTTTATCGGTTGCAACAGCTTTTTAGAATCAGTGATGGTGTGAAAGTTCTCTCCTTGTTTTAAAGATATGTTGAGATTTTACAAAACATTCTATTGATTTTCTGTTCGACACGTGCAGAAAGCAGGGTGGATAAAAATCAATGATTTTTTTTTTTAAAAAATCGGATTTTTTTTTTTTTATTTAAATCGGATTTTTTTTATTTAAATCGGATTTTTTTTTTAAATTTAAAATCAGATTTTTTTTTTAAATAAAAGCTTTTTGAGGAAAATATATTACCATCCAAAGGTTATTCCATCATGAAATAAAGATTAGTTTTTTAATTATGTAGAATAAAGCTGTATATGTTTAATTTTTTTGGTAAAAAAATTCCATGAATCCATTCACAATGTCATGCTCTTCCAGAGGTTTTTGTAAGATTATTGGGCAGTTTCTCTGCCTACAAGATATTATCACAGATGCTCGGTTTACTTTTGCAGTTCTCAAAACTGAATTGGACTCAGCGGAGATCACATGCCTCTTCTTCACAGCAAAAATGTTATAACATGAACAGAGTTAAGAAAAAGACCTTCATCCTAACTTCTACAAACCTATGAATACAGAATCAACCCCTTCAGTGCTAACGTTTCAAGAAGTTCAGTGAATAGAATAGAAACAATATTTTTCTGATTGTTTGGAGTGGAATAGATCTGCACAAGAAGAAAGTGAAACTAAGTGTGAGGAGGAAGGGGCCGACAGTCTAAGTTTTCTTAAAATATATATATTTTGTTTAGCCAAATTAGTTACCAAACATGGATGTTTAAGCAAATCCCATATGCTGGAATGTTATTGTTTCAGATGAATAAATCTATTTAAATTGTTATTATTAAGGTAATGATTATTTTTCTCCTTCCTAAGTACAACAGAAAAGTTGTCCAAATATGAATGATTAACCTATTAAACTGGGGATAAAAAAACTATGAAAAGTTGTTATTCTAAAAATCTTCATCTACTTGCATATTAAAGTTATACCAGCAAGAATTAGTCTTTATGTAGAAAACTAGGATTTACATCAAGCCTTACTGACTAGTGATTTAAATCGTGATTTAAATCAGTTTGATTTAAATCAAATCCACCCTGGCAGAAAGTAATACTGGAAAAATGATGATACATTGGCATGGCAATTTATTGATGACTGTTGATGGTGTCATGCAATTTCCTGTTGTGACAAACAGATTGTATAAGCCTAGGTTCACATATGTGCAGGTGGTGCTGCTGTGGATCCGCACAAAAATCCGTGCAGGCTCACCACCCGCACAGAATAATGCGGACCCGCAGGTGGGTGCCATTAATTCTAATGGCATGCTGCCCGCACTAGAAATCACAACCGTACTGGGAAGCGAGGTTCCTGTGCGGGCTGCGTTTTCAGTAGAAGTGCAGGGACTTCTTCCCTGCGTGTCCCGGGGCACGGGAGTCCATTCAAATGAATGGGCTTTTGTGCCTGCAGGAACGTGGATATGTGAACCAGAGGTAAGAGCTGATGTTTGTAGCAATCCTATGAAACCGTCTACTTTTGAATAGGGTGGGTTAAACCTAAAACTCATGTCGGGCTCCAGCAGGAACAGCAATAAAAAAAACCTGTCAGAAGTATGGAGCCTTCCCTACTCTACTAAAACTGCATTTTATCTGGGTCCTTACAGGAGAGATTTACCATTACTTCCTGTCTGATAGGAAATGTGGAGAAATTTCTCCATTACGAACACCAACGGTAATCCTTATCTGCCAAGAGCATATGTTTACCCAGCCATGTAACTTATTAGGGTTAAGCTGCATCTTGGCGTTTACTAATCTTATCTTTTTCTCTTCTCTTTCACTATGGAAGACATCGCGGTGGAGTTGCTACAGAAAGCTGCTCCCAGCCCCATTCGTCGCCTGCAGAAGAAGTATGCCGTTCATGTATCTAGGTGAGAATTGTATATGTTCGTGTGTCCATGCTGTACTGGGGTAAGCTGCAGTCATGTGATCCACCAGCACCAAGTCCTGATATTGTGGACTGTATACGAAGGCTTGTAATTGTTTTGTTGTGCTTGTTCATCTTATTTCCTTCTAGAAAGTATTTACCGTATTTTTCGCTCCATAAGACGCACCTGACCATAAGACGCACCTAGGTTTTAGAGGTGAAAAACAAGAAAAAAAAAAATATTCTGAACCAATGGACTGCAGACACAGTACAGGGGATGACCAGAGACTGCGGACACAGTGCAGGAGATGACCAGAGACTGCGGACACAGTGCAGGAGATGACCAGAGACTGCGGACACAGTGCAGGAGATGACCAGAGACTGCGGACACAGTACAGGAGATGACCGGAGACTGCGGACACAGTACAGGAGATGAGCGGAGACTGCGGACACAGTACAGGAGATGAGCGGAGACTGCGGACACAGTACAGGAGATGAGCGGAGACTGCGGACACAGTACAGGAGATGAGCGGAGACTGCGGACACAGTACAGGAGATGAGCGGAGACTGCGGACACAGTACAGGAGATGAGCGGAGACTGCGGACACAGTACAGGAGATGAGCGGAGACTGCGGACACAGTACAGGAGATGAGCGGAGACTGCGGACACAGTACAGGAGATGAGCGGAGACTGCGGACACAGTACAGGAGATGAGCGGAGACTGCGGACACAGTACAGGAGATGAGCGGAGACTGCGGACACAGTACAGGAGATGACCGGAGACTGCAGACAGTGCAGGGGATGACCGGAGACTGCTGACCTTTGGGGAGGGAGGGGGAGCGGGTACCTGAATTTGACAGGTACCCGCTCCCACTTCCGCGACGTTGTCTTTCCCTCTTCTTTCCGCGCCGGTTTCTGTGACAGCCGGGTGCCCACTGCGCATGCGCGAGAAGCGCTGCGCTTTGTGAATGGCCCGGCGCCTTCTGGGACCTGTCATGTGTCCCAGAAAACACTGGACCATTCACAAAGCGCAGCGCATGCGCAGTGGGCACCCGGCTGTCACAGAAGCCAGCGCGGGAAGACTGTGCAGCGCTGGAGCAAGGAACAGGTAAGGTCCTGCAGGAGAGAACAGCTGAGCGGCCGGCCCGGTATTCTGACATGGTGGCGGCAGAAATACCGGACCGGCCGCTTTATATTCGCTCCATAAGACGCACTGACATTTTCCCCCCTTTTTTGGGGGGAAAAAAGTGCGTGTTATGGAGCGAAAAATACGGTATTTATATTACTTTCGTTTCAGTTATTGTGGTAAGTGTGGATTTTTTTAGGGCAATGAAAAAAATGTTTTATTGTTTGTAAACCATAACAAAACCTTTAGGGCCAGTTCACACAGTGCAGGAACCCCACGTTCATGTGGCGTTTCGCTCACACTCTGCACTTGCAATCTGCGGCGAGTGTCAATGTTAATGACACCCCAAACGCAAGTTGCAAACGTTTGCCTGGACCTAATTGCATAGTACACTTAGTACGATGCAGTCTGGTTGCTGTGCATTTTTTAAAGTAGTGCATGCATTACTTTTGGTGTGGTATGGCACAATTTCAGCCCATTCACAAGACTGTGCTGAAATCGCACTGCACCCAGATTGCAGGTGAATCACACAACGCGTTCCTGTGCAATTCACGGTGTGATAAAAATGTTTTTGATTTAAAATAATATCCGGTAAAGCAGAGTTCCAGCCGTTTTTTGTGTTTATTAAAAGTCAGCAGCTACAAAAACTGTAGCTGCTGACATTTAGCCACTTGCCCTCCTCAGGATTTACCCCCCTTCCTGACTAGGCCATTTTTTGCTTTACATTAACTGACAATTGCGCGGTCGTGCAACGCTGCACCCAGATGAAATTTATGTCCTTTTTTTTTTCCCACAAATTGAGCTTTCTTTCAGTGGTATTTGATCGCCTGTGCGTTTTTAATTCTTTGCGTTATTAAAAAAAAAAAATAGACCGACAATTTTGAGAAAAAAAAAACAATATTTTTGACTTTTTGCTATTAAACATGTCCAGTAAAAATTAAAAAAAAATCAAATTTCATCATAAATTTAGGCCAAAATGTATTCTGCTACATGTCTTTGCTATTACTAGTAATGGCGGCGATCAGCGACTTATAGCGGGACTGCGGCGGGCATTCTGACACTAGGGGGAACTGACTTGGTATCGCTGACAACCACAGTGACACCAATACAGTGATCAGTGCTAAAAAAAGAAAAAAAAAGCACTGACACTTTATCAATGGCACTGGGCAGGAAGGGGTTAACATGAGGGGCGATCAAAGGGTTAACTGTGTGCTGTGAGTGTTTTACTGGGGGGCGGTGTGTTGGTGCTTCACTGTAAACACACTGCTGCTCTGGATGGCTGTGCTGTGTACAGCCATCCAGATCAGTGTGCCCAAGCCAACAGGGAGGACTGTTAGTAAACAAAGCAGCCCTCCTCCCCATCGGAGATCCTCGGTAATCACCGGGTGCCGGCGGGTAATCACCGGCCGGGACCCGGTAATTGACGGCCACGAATGGCGGCTCGCGCGCACCCCCTACCTGGAAACATGAAATCACGTGTATATATACGTGATTTTGCACACCCCTGCTGCCCTGTAGCAGTATATCTATCCCAGGGTCCAGCGATGTACTCCAGCGCCGTCCCTTCTCTCTTCCATGGCGCCGGCATCTCAGCGGTGGGCACCAGGCTGTGACAACTTGCGGCTTCACAGCCTGGTGACCACTGCACATGTGCAAGTCACGCTGCGCCTCCTGATTGGTCCAGCAGTCTTCTGGGACCTGTGAAAGTTCCCAGGAGACTGCAGGAGGAAGGAGGGGGCCGAACTTCCGACTCACTTTGCTGTCAAAACCAGGTACCCACTCTCCCCTCCCCCGAAAAGGTTCCAAATATGGCAGTGGAGGGGGGAGGAGCCAAACAAGCAGAGTCTCCATTTTTAGGTGGAACTCCGCTTTAAGATTTTAAAAACCTTGTTACTGTGTGCAGTTAGTAACTGATACTAAAATCTTTGCTTAATCGAATCTTGTGCAAATGTGTTTTGCTTACATGAATCTTGTAGTGCTCTGTGTAGTTCTTCCCGATCTGTGATCCAATCAAACTTTCTATTAAAAACATTTGTGTGTCTCTGAACTTGCCAGAAAAGTTGACTATTTCAGGATAGTCCATTTGCTAGCATATAGCCCTGTCCCATTCTGGGAAAGCCTGTGCTGACCCAGCTCCTCTGCTCACCTCCCAAAATGTAGCTGCTAATGGATGGCCACAGGAGAATACTATAGTGTCACTTGAGTGACAGTTCTGAGTCTGCTGGGGCTGTTGACATCATCCAAGATGGTAGCAACCAACAGCAATCTCATGGCTTTTGGATGGTCTACACAAGGGAGGCTTTTACAGGTTAAAAAAAGCTGATCTTATGGGAAGATTGCTGTTATCTGGTGACCGTGTCCCTTTAAATCTTGCCTTAAACTGACGGTAATGACCATGTTTCTGAAAGCTGTTCTCTGCATTGTAGGGAAGCTTGTATCTCCCCCTGCTCCATGATGCTGGCTTTGGTGTACATAGAAAGACTTCGCCACAGGAACCCGGAGTATTTGCAGCAAATTTCGTCATCCGATCTGTTTCTCATATCCATGGTGAGTGCTGAGGCCCAATCAATGTGATCTTTATCCTCCAGCTTTTCACTCACATAACACATGACACATAAAGTAATGAGGGTGATGCACATGACCAAGTGTGTGATGGCAGCTGTTAGAAATCAATACTCATCTGGTATCAAGCAGATTGCTATGTGCTGAGTGCTGGTAAGAGGATTTTTCTGCCCAATTTTTTGATTTTTTTTTTTTACCTCTTCAGTAAATCTAAACCAAAAATCCAGTAATGTTATGTATGGGGCCCAGTAATCTGGGAAGTTTGAGAACATTCCTGGTTAAATACACGTTGATGGCTGAAACTATTTTTATTTAGGTTTGGTTCACATCTGTGCAGGTGGTGCCGCTGCGGATCCACACGAAAATCCGTGCAGCCGCACACAGGAATGCGGACCCGCGGGCGGTATCATTATCTCTAATGGCACGCCGCCCGCACTGGAAAACGAGGTTCCCATGCGGGCTGCATTTTCAGAAGAAGTGCAGGGACTTCTTCCCTGCTTGTCACAGGCACGGGAGTCCATTCAAATGAATGGCCTCTCGTGCCCACGCAAAACGCGGTCCGCACAACCGCATAGATGTGAACCGGGGCTAACTCTTCAGCCAGTTTCAACACACATACAAAGGGAAGAACATAAGAGAAATAATCTGAAAACAGGTCATCTGCAGCATTGGCATAAATTGCTAGGATAAGGAAGGAGGCAACTTCCCCATAATGTGATGCTAGAGTTACCCACATCTGTTTTGTTTTCGTTTTTTATGAATGTGGAACTTTGCAGAAAACTATGTGCATCTTATTATAGCCACATAAGTAAAAAAAAAAAAAAAAAAAAATCTAACCTGCATTTGCATTATTTCCCATAATACAAGCGATATTTGCACAAATGTTTACAGTCATTTGAGATGATTGATGTGATTGAACAACCCATAAGGGGCATATATTGTGTAGAATAGTGAGATAACATCAAAAGACTCAGTTGAAAAAACAGAGGTGCCCTACTGATGGTGATCTCCTAGATGCGCTATCGCTGGGTGTGTGTTAGGAGTATCACCGGAAGGGCATTTTTCCTTTAGGGGGAGGAAATAGGACTGAGAGGTGGCAGGTGGGTGTTAACAGTTAGAGAGAAGAAAAGGGGATAGGGGTGCGAAGGTTGGATGGAGAGGGGAAAGAAAAGGGGTGGTTGGGTTTCAGGGTTACTGGTTAGAGTGGGAGGTAGTGGGTTGAGGGTAGTCCTTGATCTCGGGGTATAGGTCTTAGTTATAACCATTTTTGTGAGAGTGGTTTCATGGGGGGTGTTAATCAAAACAGTAAAATAATTAACGAGCACTTGGAGATAAATGGTAAGCCGCTGGCATAAAAGGTACAAACCCCAAACCTTCACACTATAAATGATAACATGCAGCGCTAAAAAGAAGTAATTCATGAATCATAAATCTAATAAAATATAAATAAAAACAAATAAAAAGAGTGGTAGGCTAAAGTGCTTAAAGTGATTAAAATGAAAAACAACGTCCTCAGATGATGGTTCAATTGTCCCAATAAAGAGGTGCAAAGGTGGTCGACTCCGTGCTCAAAGGTGTGTAAATATTATGCACTCACCAGAAAGCGCATTCTGGTGAGTGCATAATATTTACACACCTTTGAGCACGGAGTCGACCACCTTTGCACCTCTTTATTGGGACAATTGAACCATCATCTGAGGACGTTGTTTTTCATTTTAAGCACTTTAGCCTACCACTCTTTTTATTTGTTTTTATTTATATTTTATTAGATTTATGACTCATGAATTACTTCTTTTTAGCGCTCCATATGTTATTATCATTCATGGGGGGTGTTGGCTACTTGATAAAATGAACAAGAAAGTTGGTTTGGTGGGCAGGGAACTAATTACAGCTTAAAAGGTCATTTATGGAAATAAGACACTACACCATTTTATATATATATATATATAAAAAAAAAAAAATATATATATATATATATAATTTTTTTGTTTGTTTTTTTTGCTTTAAAAACTCCAGCAATGCACATCCTCCCATCAGTCACAAAGGCAACACTCGACAGAATGATTTGCCCCCCCCGACCTGCGCTTGCTACTTCTCTGGCCCCATGTAGCAGTGCTGCAATGACACCGTTGAGCAGTTACCATTTACAGTTAATGATGCCAATAACCTGTCCCTTTGTTATTCAAATGACAGACATAAGGCAATGTCATATGCAGCTGGCAAGGGCTGGACTGCAGATGGATCTTTTTTTTTTTTCAGCAGGAGATACCATGACTGGTGAGATGTGTTTTTGTTTTTTGGTTTTTTTGGGGGTTTTTTTGTACAGTGTACATGTTCAGCTGCAGACATACTGTATAATTCTGCACAGCTGTGCACATCATACCAGTGCTTTGGTGTGAACAGTACACATAGAAAACAGTGGTTTTCTGTGTCAGCAAAGATCCGCTTCTTTTTTGGTGGAAAAACACAGTTCTCTGCAGCATCTATGAACCCTTAAACAGGAATCCAGAATGGAGTTTGGTGGGCCAAACTAAAAATGGTTTAGAGCAGTGGTTCTCAACCTTCCTAATGCCGCAACCCTTTAATACAGTTCCTCATGTTGTGGTGACCCCCAACCATAAAATTATTTACCCAGTAATTATAATTCATGAGTGTCGTTTTACCTCCAATACTGCTGCTTTCAACACAGTAGCTGCTTTCAACACAGTAGCTGCTTTCAACACAGTAGCTGCTTTCAACACAGTAGCTGCTTTCAACACAGTAGCTGCTTTCAACACAGTAGCTGCTTTCAACACAGTAGCTGCTTTCAACACAGTAGCTGCTTTCAACACAGTAGCTGCTTTCAACACAGTAGCTGCTTTCAACACAGTAGCTGCTTTCAACACAGTAGCTGCTTTCAACACAGTAGCTGCTTTCAACACTAGCTGCTTCCAACACAGTAGCTGCTTCAACACAGTAGCTGCTTTCAACACAGTAGCTGCTTCCAACACAGTAGCTGCTTCCAACACAGTAGCTGCTTCCAACACAGTAGCTGCTTCCAACACAGTAGCTGCTTCCAACACAGTAGCTGCTTCCAACACAGTAGCTGCTTTCTACACAGCAGCTGCTTTTTACACATCAGAAATATGTGTTTTCCGATGGTCTTAGGCGACCCCTGTGAAAGGGTCGTTCGACCCCCAAAGGGGTCGCGACCCACAGGTTGAGAGCCACTGGTTTAGAGGGACAGCACGTCACAAGCTGATCCATTAGCTCAGGGGTCTCCAAACTTTTTTCTTTACAAGGGCCACATCATATATAAAAAAAAAAAATGGTTTTATAAGTGAATTAAAACTCAAATGATTGCATAAACACGCTCTAAGAAATAACTGCTGAGTCCCCCCCTTTACATCAGAAGCCCTTCATTAAATCGGGATCCCTATCAGAGTTCATCCTTGCATCTGGGCCACTATCAGGGTCTCCACCGGAAGCCAAGATCAACTGATCTGAATCCTCAGACTATGGATATGCTACTGGCTCTAGCTACGGGCCAACTAAAATCATGTAGCGGGCTGGATATGGATCATATGCCACAGCTGGGAGACCCCTGCACTGGCTGACAGAAATGGAAAGATATGAACAAACATCACAGAGCACAACATCATAATGTAGTAACTTCTTTATAACCACTACCTTTTCCCCATCACCTCATCCACTGTTCATACTCTCAGCTTCTCCGCCCCGCCGTACATCGCTCCACCACCGGCCCCGCTATACACAGCGCCTCTGTATCCTGTCTACTATAGATATTCAGCATGGGCTGCAGCATTTCATCATCTGCTGGAGAACCTGTTCAAAGGGACCCCAGATGGTGACACGTTTGAGACTTTTGGGGTACCTACCCTGAATTGCGATTGGAAGGTGTATGACCCTGACCTTACCTTGGCAGTAGATGACTGCTACCTGATGTAACAGGATAATTTCACATGCGTATTTTTGACGCACTTCTGGTGAGTGCGCAATTTTTTTTACCCTAGATTCACCGTGTGGTACACTGGAACCCTGCCCCACGCACTCATTAGGATCTACCGGATCCCCACATTGGGCCCTCATTTATCTTGGGACTTTTTATTCACTCAAGTTCACCTCAGTGTGATCTGATACTTTGTACTTTATTTTATGCTATATTATGCTGTTTTTATTTGTTATTTTAGCGCTGCACCTTTATATGTATGTACTCTGTTGGAAGGTTCATTCTTGGTTACCTTTTTGGTGTTCTAGCAGCTATCTTTTACATCGTTTTGGATAGCGCTCGCATATTACCTCTTTACTATCTTTATAACCACTGCCAGAGCATTTTTTGTTATTTTTCACACATTCAAAAAATCTGTGTTTTCTTTTCGGCTAGAAGTTACTTGAAAGCTTCAAACCATCTTCTGAAACAGAGGCCGTGTAGAATAAATTAGATGGTTGTTGCAATTTATGTTGCACGTTATTTGTACAAATGCTTATAAAATATTTTTAGGTAAAAATACACTAATTAATTTTAGTGCGCACACTCGATTATAATACCCAGTTTTATATTAAAATCTAAAAAACGTGGTTGCATTGACTAAACGGTAATCATGTCAAGTCTTAAAACTTCGCACCTCTGTGAAATACTACAATACTCAAAATAGGCAATGCATAACACTTTATAGCTTATAAATGTAGTTAATGGCAAATGATAGCCCTAGAATTAAAGTGGTTGTACACCTGAGACATGAAATATGAACAAAGTATATCCCTCTATAGCAGTGGTTCTCAACCTGTGGGTCGCGACCCCCTTTGGGGGTCGAATGTCCCTTTCACAGGGGTCGCCTAAAACCATTGGGAAAACACACATTTCCAATGTGTCCGATGTGTAAAGAGCAGCTACTGTGTCGAAAGCAGCTACTGTGTCGAAAGCAGCTACTGTGTCGAAAGCAGCTACTGTGTCGAAAGCAGCTACTGTGTCGAAAGCAGCTACTGTGTCGAAAGCAGCAGTATTGGAGGTAAAACGACACTCATGAATTATAATTACTGGGTAAATAATTTTATGGTTGGGGGTCACCACAACATGAGGAACTGTATTAAAGGGTCACGGCATTAGGAAGGTTGAGAACCACTGCTCTATAGTGTGTACCTGTCTCAATCAAGAGCACTGAGTGTCATTTCTCTGCTATCAGCATGAATCACTTCTGACAGCTTTTCCTGACACCAAGAGATAAAAGATGAGGATGGAGCTCCAGCATACAGCCTGTGATTGATAGCCTCATCTCTGTTCCTGTGTGCTGCGTAAGGAGGCGTGTCCTTTGCCTCCAATCAGCTCTCCTCACTAACTCCAGCTCCCCGTCCCATGCTTTCTGAAAGCTTATACAAGCTGTATAAATTATGTACCTTGAACAGCTGTAGAGAAGAGAGGGCTACAGATAAACAGTTATAACGTATGTAGGAGTTGTTTCATCTCTGTGTAGCACCTGAAGCAAGTCAATTCACTGGGTGTATGTAAGGGTTTACAACCACTTTAATTCTCTCAGTCCAGCATTTGCAGTGATATGGAATCCATGTCGCCACACAAGGTGTGGGGGTGGGGCTTTAAAATTTTATTTTTGTTTTACTTATGTCACTTTTTAGTTTTTAAAAAAATGGCCATCACTACTATCCTAGTGGGGAGAGCACTGTGGAGGAGCAGAAGCATGTGGACTGAGAACGCTGGCTCTTACCTACCTGATCCTCAGGCAGGTAAGAGCCAGCGTTCTCAGTCCACATGCTTCTGCTCCTCCACAGTGCTCTCCCCACTGCTAGACACACCGATTACAAAATCACGAAGCAGAAGTGGCTTTACCTATCATTCATGTATGGAACATCGCTCCTACCACCACCAATCTGCCCAGGTTGTGTATGGATGACAAGTCATCGTTTGGTGAATGTGGCTCCTGGTGATCATGCATTGCATGTTTGGTTACAGATGGTTGCCAGTAAGTATCTGTACGACGAAGGTGAGGAGGAAGAGGTTTTTAATGACGAGTGGGCAGCCGCCGGGAAACTGGACGTCCAGATGGTGAACACTTTGGAGATGAATTTCCTCCGGGCGATCGTAAGTTGTTTCTCGCACTCCTACATCTTGCCTTTCTACATTAGATGAGAGTCGAATGATGTCTATGAGGGTTTTCATTTGTCCAGGTCATGGTGTAGCGAGTCGCAGTCACATCCAACATGGACTTATTTTGTAATGTTGAAGACGTTCCGTAGCTTGTCAAAGTCTAGGTTCACAACTAAGCATTTTGCAGAAACGCACAGCAGTCCATTTAACATGATTTCCTATGGGACACGTTCACATCTCCACATCTTTCACCCGGTGCATTTTTTTTGTAAAGGGTCAGGGGCTTTTTCTACAGGCAAAACGTTGCTTTTTGGTTCAATAGACTTCAATGGAGACGTTGCAGAAATGCATGTAGTGTGTTTTTGATGCGATTTGCATTTTAACCCCTTGGCGCCGGCTCCTCCTGGCCCTTTAAGGGTTTCAGGGGCGGGGCAAGGTTTTAAGGTCATGTGACCGCCGTGATTCGCCGTCACGGCGGTCACATGATCGGGAAAGATCCCGATCGAAAGAGGAGATTGGGACCTTTCTGTGAGTACTGGACATGTGTCATGGCGGTCACATGATCGAAAAAGGTCCCGATTGAAAGAGGAGATTGGGACCTTTCTGTGAGTACTGGACATGTGTCATGGCGGTCACATGATCGGAAAAGGTCCCGATAGAAAGAGGAGATTGGGACCTTTCTGTGAGTAATGGACATGTGTATGTGTACTGGGAGCGCACAGGGCGAGCGCTCTCAGCACATATGTTTTTCGTAATTGCCCGCAAATGTACAGCCACTCGGCATCCGCATATTTGCGTGCGGCCGGCGCGAAGAGGTTAATATGCCCAGCAACAAGTTGGAAAAATAAAAAACTCGGCAAAAAGCAGTGCAGAAACAGATGAAACGCAAACTGCATAGGTCTGAACCTAACCTAAGCCCCTTTTTAACCCGTTACCATCCAGCTCCTGTAGATCTACTGCAGACGGCTGGAGCCTGCGAACCCGGAAGGAAGACCGGGAGAAGATGGAAGCCCTTTCAGCAGTGACAGCGCACCGCTGGGGTCTCCGTTCCAAGGTTTTTCATAATGTGGTAGTATGCGATGCATGCATACTAATACATTATGCAATTGCCTTGCAGGGGATTTGTTTTTTAGTAAAGGTGCGGTTTACTACCTCTTTAAGAGAGGGCATGTCTTGGTAATTATTCATGCCTGAGGGGGTTTGGCTATATGTAGACATTTTAACTTTGCCCTGAATGAACATTTTTATTTTTAACCTGGAATTGGGTTTCAACAAAAATTCCATCAAGATTTACACGTTCTGTTGGATATACACTCTTGATTTTACAAATACGTGTTCAGTATGAGGCGCTTCCATGACTAAGAATTCCTAGAGCACTGTTGGTTTTTCAGGCGCTTATTATTGAACTGAAACCTGTTATGGAGGGGGAGGAGTCACATCCCTGATCCTGTATTGGATAAATTGCACAATAATCTACTGAGCTCTATAACCATACTTTTTTTTCATTAGAGGAACCTGAAGCAGGAAAACACATAAAAAGAGGCAAAAGTGCCGCCTACTGGGAGCTTACAAAAAAATAAAAATATTCATTTGCAGTTGGTTGTGTTTACCTGACTGAGGCCCCGTGTGATCTCAGGCAGAATCGCTGTGATTTTGCCCGCTATCCCAAAATGCACAAATCGCACTATGCCTGTTCGGGTGCCATTCATTTTCAATGGGACCAAAACATGGTGTAGTTTTGTTGCAAACTGAATCGCGTGAAGCTTGTCGCTCAAAGAGGAGTAGGAGCTTCTTTTGGGAGTCAAGCTTCGTGTGATTCTCTTTCCTACTATTTATCTCACGACGATGGCGGCAGAACCGCACCACATTTTGAAAATGAATGGCGTCCGAACAGGCGTTGTGCGATTTGTCATTTGTGCAGAATGTTTTGGGATCGTGGACAGAATCGCCATGATTCTGCCCGAGATCACAAGTGCTCAAGTGTGACTGGGGTTTGAAAGAATTAATTTTTTTTTTTTTTTTTCGGTTACAACCCCCCTACACATTCGCACTTGAGCACGAGGCTACAAAAATGCTCAAACTTAAAAAAATGAACTGTTCGCTATGGTGCCTGTTTGTGCGATCAGGTGTGAACAGGCACCATAGAGAACTGTTGATTTTTTAAGTTTGAGCAATTTTGGATCGTCAAGCTGCAAAATCGCTCAAGTGTGAATGCAGCCTAAAGCAGGCTTCCCAAGAGCTCCTTACATTTTCTATGTGCACACCCTGATAGTAGGAGAAAAGCCACATATGTACAATGCATTGCAGGATGTGGTGTGTGATGACCTGCGTCACCTACTGCATGGGTGGGACTTTGCCACATCAAGTCTGGGTGGGAGGGCAGTGAGGAATTTGCATAACAAAAGGGGCCACCATTAAATTGAATTCCTAAGTAAGCCCAAGTGTGACTGGTTCTCTTTTTTTTTTTTTTTAAGTTTGAGCATTGTTGTAGCTTCTTTCATGACCTGGTCACACTTGAGCACTTGCGATCTCGGGCAGGATCGCGGTGATTCTGTCCGTGACCCCAAAACACTTCACAAATGACAAATCGCACAACGCCTGTTTTTGGACGCCATTCATTTTCAAAATGTGGTGCGGTTCTGCCGCCATCGTCGTACAATGCATTGCACGATGTGGTGTGTGATGACCTGCGTCACCTACTGCATGGGTGGGACTTTGCCACATCAAGTCTGGGTGGGAGGGCAGTCAGGAATTTGCATAACAAAAGGGGCCACCATTAAATTGAATTCCTAAGTAAGCCCAAGTGTGACTGGTTCTCTTTTTTTTTTTTTTTTTTTTAAGTTTGAACATTTTTGTAACTTCTTTCATGACCTGGTCACACTTGAGCACTTGCAATCTCAGGCAGCATCGCTGTGATTCTGTCCGTGATACCAAAACACTGCACAAATGACAAATCGCACGCCGCCTGTTTTTGGACGCCATTCATTTTCAAAATGTGGTGCGATTTAGCCGCCATCGTCGTAGAATTCATTGCACGATGTGTGTGTGATGACATGTGTCACCTACTGCATGGGTGGGACTTTGCCACATCAAGTCTGGGTGGGAGAGCAGTGAGGAATTTGCATAACAAAAGGGGCTACCATTACATTGAATTCCTAAGTAAGCCCAAGTGTGACTGGTTCTCTTTTTTTTTTTTTTTTTTTTTTTTTTTTTAAGTTTGAGCATTTTTGTAGCTTCTTTTATGACCTGGTCACACTTGAGCACTTTCGATCTCAGGCAGCATTGCGGTGATTCTGTCCGTGAGCCCAAAACACTGCACAAATGACAAATCGCACAACGCCTGTTTTTGGACGCCATTCATTTTCAAAACGTGGTGCGGTTCTGCCGCCATCGTCGTGAGATAAATTGTGGGAAACCGAGTCACACGAAGCTTAACGCTCAAAAGAAGCTCCTACTCCTCATTGAGCGACAAGCTTTACGCGATGCAGTTTGCAAAGAAACTACACCATGTTTTGGTCCCATTTCAATGGTAAATGATGCTTTCATCTCTTGTGGTATTTTTTTCAGCTATTTCTATTGTGCTAGAAAACTGCCAGATTGTCCTATTTTGTATTACAAAATAATTCAAGAAAATGTATAAAACTGTTTTAGCATGAATGTATGTAAAAACTTTCTTTATATGGAAATACAGGACTGGGGACTGTACACACATCCGGGGGAATTCTTTGAAGTGCTCCGATGGCTGGAGGGCAGGTGGGTATCTTATTCTATGATCAAGGTAGAACTTTGGACAAAACTTTTTTTACAGGTTTTTATTGCTGTGCTGTCTGTATTGCCCCCCCCCCCCCCCCCCCCCCCCCCCCCCCCCCCCCGCCCCCCCCCTCCTCCCCCCCGCCCCCCCCCCACCGCCCCCCCCCCCCCCCCCCCCCCCCCCCCCCCCCCATTGTATTGAACCCCCCCCCCCCCCCCCCCCCCCCCCCCATTGTATTGAACCCCCCCCCCCATTGTATTGCCCAGGTTGATTCCCACTTCCTGTGTGTTTTGGGTTCCCTTGTGTTTGTATTCATCCCAGCTCCTCACCGGCACCATGCTGGAAAGTGTACGTTCTGCAGAAAGATTGCAGGCAAGTTTATTGTAAAGTAGTCCTAAAGGCTGAAGGTTTTTTTTTATTACCTTCATGCCTTCTATGCATAAAGGTAAATAACCTTTTGTGTAGTGGCTCCCCCGGCCCCCCAATCCTCACCTGAGCCCCCTCTGATCCAGCGATGTTCACGATAACCCGGCTGTTTGGGCCCATTTGCTCCTGCTGCTTTCAATCACAGCCAGTAAGCCAATAAGGAGAGGGGGGGGGGGGGGGGGGGGCGAACCACGGCTCTCTGTTTTCTGTGGATGCATAGAGTAGCAGCTCGGGAACCAGTATGCAGAGGTGCCCCCAGGGCCAGCAGCTTTCTCAGTTCGAAGAGGAAGAGCCTGGAGCGCCAGAAGGGGACCCAAAAAGAGGAGGATCGGGACAGCCGTGTGCAAAAACTATGGCACAGAGCAGGTATGTATGTCGTGTTTGTTGTTTTACTAAGCAAAAGAACAAAGTTTTAGTATCGTTTTAATGCTGAAGAGGCGTTGCAATAAAGAAGCCTGCCTGTTAACAATTTTTTTTTTTTTTTAAATTGCGTTAATCGTTCGGCTTTAAAGCTGATCTGCTGTATACAGTCTTCTCTCTGTATTGAAATTGCATAGTCCAATTTCACTGCACACTGTGAGCTTTTCACAATTTGCATTAGCAGCTGTAACATATCAGAGCCCGCCTCATTTCCTGGCTGCGGGACGTCCAGCTTCACCTAGCTCTTCTCTACAGTCTGGCAGCCCCTGGCCTGCCCCTTTTTCATTCATTTGGATTTCAGTTCTTTCAGACATAGAGGCTTTGCATCATATGCAGGCGTTACCTAGGTCAGTCTGCATGCAAGCACAACCTGCCTAGGAATGCCCACTCCTCCAGACTGGCATTCAAGAATTTTGATCATTTCATCAATGAAGGCCCAGCTCACTGCTTGTGTCAAGGTTGAGGATTCTTCAGAGGAGTACTGAGGCAGGGTGCTGTGATGTTTTCAGGAAGTTATGTACAGCACCCGTATGGCCCTTCCCTCCAGCAATGATTTACCTGCATTGCATAGGGAAGCACGGAGACCCAGTGTATCACTGGATCTAAAATAAGGTAAATAAATCGGAAAGGTATATATAATATAAACATTTCATTTTCGAGGAAGGGGGAGGAACCAAGGAAGGCAATATACGCAGGTTTCATTTATTTATTTCAGGTACTTATACAGCGCCGTCAATTTACGCATATATTGTACATTCACATCAGTCCCTGACCCTCAAAGGGCGTACAATCTAAGGGCCCTAACTCACATCCATACATACACATACTAGGGACAATTTAGACAGGAGTCAATTCACCTACCAGCATGTCTTTGGAGTGTTGGAGGAAACCGGAGTACCCGGAGGAAACCCGCACAGGGAGAACATGCAAACTCCAGGCAGGTGGTGCCGTGTTTGGGATTTGAACCAATGACCCGAGTACTGCCAGGCAGAAATGATAACCATTTAGGTTTAATTTTTTTTTTAAGCCACACATGGATGGGCTGTCAGGGGCTCAAGGAAAATGATGCTGGAGATACCTTATTTCTGTGGGTTCTTTCTTCAACTGTTTCCTTCTTCTTTTTTTTTTTTTTTTCTTATACTGACACTTGTCATGCAGGAATCATAATTTTTTGCCACTGAATGTGTTCACCAATCGGGTATTTGGTGCAGCATGACATGTTGCCTCTATTTTTATAAAGGTGCACTGTTTCTTTAAGCCTCCTGTTTTTACTTGTTATATAGTCAGGCTGCATAACAAATAAATAAGATGGCATTTTTTCTTTTTACTTTGTGTATTTTCACTGTGTGCATGTCCTTAGATCTGTAAAGGCTGCCCAGCGCCAGCACAGTGAAGGACTCAACTGCTGCTCAGGTAGCTCTGACTGTCCAGTGTGCGGCTGACAGAGGGCAGCTTTTACAGCACCTAAACCCACACATTTTAAACTTTTTAAATTTGCAGTTTCTTTACTTATTTTGCAGCCTGACTGTATAACAAGTATAAAAACATAAGACTTCAGTTGGGCTTTAACCACTTGCTTCAGAGCTTGTTAAGTGATTTCATTTTTTTTCAGCTGTTCAGCTCTTCAGCCACCTGATCACTTTTGGGTCCTGTGCTTGATTAGCTGCTTTGGAAGGCAGGGGAGACATTGGGGGGTCTAATACAAATCCCCTTATGTTTCCATAAAGAGTATGCACGCATGGCCACGCTGTTTTCAAATCTGACAGAGTACGGGGAAAAGTCTCCCGTTCTATCAGAGGGAAGGGGGTGTGGCTGCGGCTACAGGAACATGTTACATGTTCCACCCTAAAAACAGGTGTAACATGTTCCAAAGGTGAACTTATCCTTTTGAAGAAACCATGCACCTTCATAAGAATAGAGGCTAAATGTTATGCAACATATAAAATGTGGTTTTAATTGGGCTGTAAGTACAGATTTGTATGTTTGGATGTAATTGGGCTGTAAGTAAAGGTCTGTATGTTTGGATGTAATTGGGCTGTAAGTAAAGGTCTGTATGTTTGGATGTAATTGGGCTGTAAGTAAAGGTCTGTATGTTTGCATGTAATTGGGCCGTAAGTAAAGGTCTGTATGTTTGCATGTAATTGGGCTGTAAGTAAAGGTCTGTATGTTTTGGATGTAATTGGGCTGTAAGTAAAGGTCTGTATGTTTGCATGTTTGTAATTGGGCCGTAAGTAAAGGTCTGTATGTTTGGATGCAATTGGGCCATAAGTAAAGGTCTGTATGTTTTCATGTAATTGGGCTGTAAGTAAAGGTCTGTATGTTTTTGGATGTAATTGGGCTGTAAGTAAAGGTCTGTATGTTTGCATGTAATTGGGCTGTAAGAGAAAAAGGTCTGTATGTTTGGATGCAATTGGGCCATAAGTAAAGGTCTGTATGTTTGCATGTAATTGGGCTGTAAGTAAAGGTCTGTATGTTTGCATGTAATTGGGCCGTAAGTAAAGGTCTGTATGTTTGCATGTAATTGGGCTGTAAGTAAAGGTCTGTATGTTTGCATGTAATTGGGCTGTAAGTAAAGGTCTGTATGTTTGGATGCAATTGGGCCATAAGTAAAGGTCTGTATGTTTTCATGTAATTGGGCTGTAAGTAAAGGTCTGTATGTTTTGGATGTAATTGGGCTGTAAGTAAAGGTCTGTATGTTTGCATGTAATTGGGCTGTAATTGGGCTGTAAGTAAAGGTCTGTATGTTTGCATGTAATTGGGCTGTAAGTAAAGGTCTGTATGTTTGGATGTAATTGGGCTGTAAGTAAAGGTCTGTATGTTTGCATGTAATTGGGCTGTAAGTAAAGGTCTGTATGTTTGGATTTATATTTCTGTTACCTTGTGTTTATGAAAGCCATAATGCATCCAATTCCACAACTGCTGAGCCCTTTATACTGTGGGTGGTGTAATCTGGTTGTTTGTCTTCCAATTGCAGGGTTGCAGAGCAGCAAGGTATGAAGCGTGGCTGGTTCACTTACACAGACCTCTTGGTGCTCCTGGAACAGGACCTGTGGCAGAAAGTCTTCAATGATCTCTGCCAGCAAGTTACCAAGGTGAGGAATGTGTTGGATTATAGAAGTGGAATGGTGTCTTACCAAATGGTAAGAGAACTAAAACTGGGGTTGGAGGTTCAACTTCCAGCAGAGCAATGAACCTAAAAACAGCTGAGCTGCAGCTACCCTGAAATTGTTCAACTATTTGCCAAAATCACACGCCAGGCCTCAGGCTCGCCTGCCTCTCCTGGGAGTCTGAATCCAGCAAAAACTGCCTCAAGGTAGGGAGCAGAGGTAAATTGGGAACGCCTGTGCTGTGGTCTCCGTTTGTGTAAAGTTAACCTGGTAGCAGGCATCCAGGAACAATTCAATGAAGAATTCAAATTCAGAACGCACACATCCCGGCCGGCTGTGACCAAGCAAATGGCAAGTCGTGCTCAGTCAAGAGAGACATTAAGGCCCCATTTACACTTCAGTGATTTGTAGCTCGAAGCGCCAAAACCCTTGGAAAAAAAACATTAAGCGCAACAGTTGATTTTTTTTTTTTTTTTTTTTTTTTCTATATCGGCTAATAAAAACCCACTAAGGCTCAAAATTGAATGAAAACATTGCAAAAATCATTTTTTATCATTTTAAACTGAAAATGTAATCCTGTAGTTAATATATATTCAGAATCTGAAATGGAGAATAAAAATTCTGATTCATTTAAATGTATCAATTCACTTCTCTCCATACAGGCCACTTCCGCAATATCTTTATTAATTCTATCCTATTGGTAACTCTTTCTATACAACTATTCTTCAAAATATCAGCCTGTTTAAAGAATTCATCCAGTGTAGTGCAGTTCTGCCACTCTCTGATTCATTGCCCCTTTATTATCAGGAAGGCACATTAAAAATATTGAACTAGGAGATTTATACCCTTTTTATTATCTTTACCCCTTAGACAACTCCATAACAGAGACCCCAGTGGTCTTACGTTTTGTGAAAACAATAGGGTTGTATGAAATCGGAGAGGTGCCGACCTCACTAGAGAGACCTGTAAAAATTAGAAGCCCTTCACCCTAACCGTGTAAATATGGGGATAATTTAAATAGTTTTCTCAGTCATTTATAAACTTCTGCTTTTTATTAGAGATACATTTAATGGTTTCTTAGAATTTATATTTTTATTGTAGTGTGTTTAAATGTAATATTCCTTGCAATTTTATTGTGATTGTGTCTAGGTTTATTTATGGTCTCTTTCACACAATCGGTCCGATTTTCTCTGCCTCCTAGTTTTTCAGGCGGACCCAATTGGATCCTCCATTCACCTCTGTGGAGCGGCTCATGTAAATGGACTTGTGTTTACAATCACCTACCTCCAGTCCGATCTGGTTCGCTAACAAAAAAAAAATGGAATGGGATCCATTGTTTCCCTTCGTCTAGGCGGATTGGATCGGAGACACTGTCCAGCTACACCTGACACAGCTGTGTCCGTGTTCACTCTGCAGAAACTGAGCAAACACGGACCTCCCACATGGAAGAAAAAATATGTTTGAAATCTATTTTAAAAATATTCTTCCCAAATATATTGACATATATTTGAAATGCTACAATTTTGGCCATATTCAATATATTTCAATAAAATATCTATAATATATATCTGTATCTATATATATATATATCTATATATATCTCAACCGCATGTTGAAATGTGTTTTTATTACAGAATATATGAAAAAATAATTTTAAAAGTACATTTCAAATATACTTTGCCTTTAAAAATACAAATCTACATTTTTGGAATGCATTAATAAATATATGCAAAAATATATGTTGAAATTACTTTTTTATATACTAAAAAAAAAAAAATCTGAAGAATAGATTTTAAAAATATATATTCTTCAGATTTTTTTTAACATATAAAAAGTCATTTTAACATATTTTTACATATGTTAAAAAAAATCTGAAGAATACATATTTTTAAAATCTATTCTTCAGATTTTTTTTTTTTTAGTATATAAAGTAATTTCAACATATATTTTTGCATATATTTATAAATGCATTCCAAAAATGTAGATTTGTATTTTTAAAGACATACAGTATATTTGAAATGTACTTTTAAAAATATTTTTCATATATTTTGTAATAACGTGTGTGTGTTGTATTGTATTGAAATATATTGAATATGGACAACATTATAGTATTTCAAATGTATGTCAATATATTTGGGAAGAATATTTTTAAAATATCTTTTTCTTCCATATGGGCTGCCAGCTCTGCACAGCAGGGGTTGAGAAGACAGATCCCCTGCTGAGCAAAGTGGATTCCTCTCCATGTGAAATTTGCACACGTGTGTTTTGGTAGAGGATTTGGTAATTGGCCACTAAACGCCGCTATTATGTGTTAATGCTGGCAACGAATTGGTTGAAGAGGAGCTCCAGTCTCCCGCCAAAAAAATTAAGTCCGCAGCTATAATCCTGTAGCTGCTGATTTTTAATATAAGGACACTTACCTGTCCAGGGATCTAGCGATGTCCTCACCAGAGCCAATTCTTTAATCTGCTTCAGGTCCAGGAGCTGGCATTTTAACTAAGGCGAGGCAATCCAACCGGAAGAGCAGCTTGCTATGGGGGTACCCGAGCAGGCTCACTCCTGAGCCGCTGCTCTGTGTGTCCATTCACACATGGGTTGTCCCTGCTCCCACTGTCTCCTCATTGGCTCACTGGCTATGATTGACAGTAGGGGGGGCCAGTGACTACTGCTGCTGTCTCAGCCAATGAGGAGACAAACACTCAGGAACAGCCGAGGCTCTCGTGCACATTGCTGGGTTGAGATGGGGCTCAGGAAATTTCTATGGGGGCGCTGCTACACGCAGGAGGTTTTTTACCTTGAGCCTTTACAACCGCTTTAATTTAAATTATTTGCCATACATAATATTTGACCTCCGTAAACGTCTCTTGTCTGGAAACATGCAAAGAAAATGCAAAGAAAAAGGAAATTTTAGATGGTTTATGGAATTGGACTATTGAGTATAAGCTCCTTTTTTTTTCTTTCCCTTTCCAGTTGGCTTGTATCCTTGGCCTGGTCTACTTAACCGGAGTTGCCACTTTATTTGCTTCAGTTGCCGTCTTGCACAAGGCTACCTGGGAGATAAATGGGACAAGGCTGCTTCCTTCAATCACAGAACCAAGCCCAGTTGTGTCGGTGCCTCTGTTTTTTCCAGCTCCAGTTGAAGAAATCCCTGCTCCTCCTCCTACAACCGTTCTTCCATGTTCCCTAGAGGAGGAGAGCACAGAGAGAAAGTCAAGTGTTACAGCTACTGCGCTGTATCTCTGGGGCTCTGTGCTGACTGCACTTACCTACAGGGACTCGGGCGGGACTGAAGGTGAGGAATTACAACCCCCTGGCCGGTACTGCCCTTACTGCTCCAAACCAAAACCACCCAGCGCTGAAAAAAACGCCACACGCTGCACCTCCAACCAGCAACTCGTTCGTGCCTTTCCCGGACTGGATCTCTACAGCTTTCCCGACCCGCTAGTCTGTTCCAACTGCCCAAATTCTTGCACTATAAAATATCCTGAACAACGCCACTCGCCAGGACACGGATCTGAGACTCACCTGTCCAATTCCTTGAAAATTAAAACCTCAATCTGTGCAGACACAAGCCTGGGCAGGCTGAAAACCTTCCTAGTTCCAGGATAGCCAACGTGAGTTTGGCCCCTCTTGATGAAACTTGCAGTAGTCAGGATGGACGGTCATTGTGCGATGCCGCAAAGCAAACTATAATAGATTGTATTTTACACTAGTTATTTCACCAATTTCTGTATTCACACACTTTTCTCTATTCTTATATGACGTAGCTGAAATAGGAAGTATATTTCAGGATGAAGCCGATGGCTTTTAGTAGTAAGAAGTCTGCATTTTTGCAAAATAGCAGGGCAAACCGGAGATCAGCGCACTTTATGTTGCATGTTAGATTGTTTTCATTTTATAGGATTTATTTGAGAAGATATGAACATATATATGGGTGATATTAACCAGAACTAAAATCCCACTTGGAGAGGGAAAAAAAAGCTTTTATAGTTTGTTAGTGATGATTCTTATGTTTAAAGCCCAATTGATTTCTGTCTATATGTGTTCAGTACATGCCAGGTGCATCAAAACTAAAGGTGTGAAGAATGAATAGAAGCCTGTCCCCTACCAGCATGCTGCAGAGAAGGACCCTTGTTCTCTGTGTGGAAGCAGTGGTCTCTCTGCAGAGGCCTGACGACCCCTGCTGAGTTAGAGCTAGATATTTCTTCGTGATCTCTGCAGACTGGAGAGTTGTCTCTCTGCCTTGTCTCTCTCTGCCTCTGTCTCTCTCTGCCTCTGTCTCTCTCCTCTGTCTCTCTGTCTCTCTGCCTCTGTCTCTCTGCCTCTGTCTCTCTCTCTGCCTCTGCCTCTCTCTGCCTCTGCCTCTCTCTGCCTCTCTCTGCCTCTGCCTCTCTCTGCCTCTGCCTCTCTCTGCCTCTGCCTCTCTCTCCTGCTCTCTGCCCCTCTGCCTCTCTCTGCCTCTGCCTCTCTCTGCCTCTGCCTCTCTCTGCCTCTGCCTCTCTCTGCCTCTGCCTCTCTCTGCCTCTGCCTCTGCCTCTGCCTCTGCCTCTCTCTGCCTCTGCCTCTCTCTGCCTCTGCCTCTCTCTCTCTGCCTCTGCTCTCTCTCTGCCTCTGCCTCTCTGCCTCTCTCCTCTCTCTCTCTCTCTCTCTGCCTCTCTCTGCCTCTCTCTCTCTCTCTCTCTCTCTCTCTGCCTCTCTCTCTCTCTCTGCCTCTCTCTGCCTCTCTCTCTCTCTGCCTCTCTCTCTGCCTCTCTCTCTCTCTCTCTCTCTCTCTCTCTCTCTCTCTCTCTCTCTCTCTCTCTCTCTCTCTCTCTCTCTCTCTCTCTCTCTCTCTCTCTCTCTCTCTCTGCCTCTCTCTCTCTCTCTCTCTCTCTCTCTCTCTCTCTCTCTCTCTCTGCCTCTCTCTCTCTCTCTCTCTGCTCTGCCTCTCTGCCTGCCTCTGC